CACTATTTGCTTTCGAGTATTTTATTGTTTTTTTTTCTTTTTCTTTTTTTTTTTTNTTTGCAATTATGCTTAATTAAATCATATAAAGGAGTAACTAGTACGTGGCCCGTGCGATGCACGGGAAAATAATATTTTGATTGTATTATAAATTAAATAAATAAATAACATTAATCATGATTTATCCATTATTTATAAATTAAACCGGGTTGGACACAGTCCGACCGGATGGACCGAGAACCGATTTATAACCGATTTAGTGCGCTTTAATAAAATATTTGCTATCGAATCCGCCAACACCAGTATGTTGGACTGGTAAGATCGATACGATTTTCTAAACAAATTTTGTTACATGAAAAATTATTTTAAATAAAATTACATATTTAAATAAAATAGAGATTTATAAATTGTTTATCAATTATTTTAAACATTTGAATTTATAAATTGTTTAGATATTTAAGTAACACTTTCTATTTAAATTTATTACAAAAAGTACTATATATATATATATATATATTAAAGTATTATGTATTAAAATCTGAACAACCACAAGACGGTGCGATTCTGAAAACCTTATATTTACCGTACATTAATAAAAATGATAATGAAATAAATATTTTGTTCACATAAATAATAATAAAATGATATATAAATATTCATAAATCATTAATCATGTTGTCATAAAAGTATTGTTAATATGATTATTTGAAATTTGGACGACATCACATTCACGTAATAAAGTATTTCAATATTAAAATTTATATTTAGGTTCAATAATCAATTTGATCTGGTCAAACTGATACATAACTTAATTGCCTCGGACCAACCAAGTTATGTCAAGTTTTTTAACTATTTTAAATATCACCTAAAAGTAATTCAATCAAAATGGGCAGTACCCTACAATCACCCGATTGATCCAAAGTAATTTCCTTATTTTCTTTAAATATAATATTTAATTTTATGAAATAAAAATATTTTATGATTCATATGTCTACACCAAATGATAGTATATTAAAATTATAAATTACATATCCAAAGATGAACTATTTATTTTTATTTTATGCATATTAATAAAAAATAAACATAGTAATTTTAAAAAAAAATTAAGATTAATTGATTGGGTATGCAATTTAAAAAATATATATTTAACATGATTGAATTTTTAGATTAGAATATATATATATATATATTTAAAATAATTTTATTATTAAAAGTCAAAAAGGAAAGATGCCATAAAGATTACAACTTTGAAAAGTTTGTAACTATTAATTTATGAACCCTCCGATTTTAAATGATTTATAATTTTTGAAACATGATACGTGCATTTAAAACCCATTAATTTAGGAACCATCCAATTTTTTGATAATGAATTAAAATTAAAATATAAAATGTAAAAGTTGCTGAAAATAGTATATAATAAATGTGGTTGACTTTTCCTTACTACTATTTATGGTAAATGTTAATTCTTATTATATATATATAGATTAGTTAGGTTAACCTTTACATCAGTAAATGTGATAATGGTCCCTCCAAAGATGATAATTTCTCGTTAGGAAAATCGCATCACGGCCAGAAAGTAAAGGAATATTCTCATGATTGCACGGTAAAACTAAGAAATAGCACATTCAAATAAAAACAACTTTT